CAAAACCTAAACCCTAAATATAAGCCACATGATTCATTCGATTCTATTCACCATTATCCTGTATTAGTAGACAAGTTAAACTAGTACTGGAAACGGAGACGACCCAGGGGGCATATGAATTTATTTATAACCTCGCAACAATCGAGATCGAAAGCCGAAGCCAATAAGAAGAGCATGAGCAGCAGCCACGATGCTGGTTTCAACTACCCTTCTGGTGTCCAGTTACCCTTCATCCTCCGAAAGAAACTAGAGGAGCAGGAAGCCAACAGGCAAGCCGAGGCGCCAGCAGAAGAGAGTCAACAGGAAGGCCTTAAGTTCTTCACAGCTGTGGCATGTGACGATTCCGATGAGGGAGAATCGGATGACGATGAATTGCCTACAGAGAACGACGCATTGACCGCCACGGACCTCGAATCCAGGCTCTGGAGGGCGTCTGTAGCTTTGGTGGAAATCCAAAAACAAATTCATCGAGGTGAAGAAACCTACTATGAAGATACTTTTGGACATGGGAATCTCTTCAAGGGTTGGGAGGGGTTTCTGGACGCCAAAGATGTTGGCACAGCCTCTTCCTCCAAGCCACCAAGGGATTCACGTTGGTTCAGCAGCAGCTCCTCGATTTCCAGAACAGCAAGACCTCCATCAATCAACACGCAGTTACCAATTCTGACGACACACAAAATCAAAACACCATCCAGTGTTTCCTCTGCTGCTTTGCCGTCAACTGCTTCCTCTTCCATCCCATCACAAACACAACAAATACGTCCACCGTCTACAACTTCAGTTGCTTCTGTTTCTTCCACTGCATCACCTACTAATGCTACCAACGTGTTGCCGAAAGTCACGGCTGATAATACAGCCATCAAACCGGTGGCACCAACAGCAGCAGCAAGCCCTTCCAATCAATCTGCAGCATCCCTCACAAAAACAACCAATCCGGCAGTGCCGACGGGTACAAGCACCAAAATTCCAACTGCTGCTCCTACCAAACCGGAAGCAGGTACTGTCGTGACAGCCAACAACTCGCAACAAACTGCACAGGCGCAAAAGCCAAAGGAATCTACGGAGACTTTTAAGATTCCCAAGAAGAAAAAGAGCGGAGACTCTACTACACCAGTGGCTGCTCTCAAACCCGTATCTACAGGCACTCAATCTACAGATGCCAAAACATCCGGTGAACAACAAATAGGTACCAAGGCTAGGAAACGCAAGGCAGGAGAATAATTAACAAACCAATAAAATTTTGCACCTGGCCATGGCCACATCATATGAAGTGGGTGCTAGTGTCAGTTTGCTGCCGTCATGGAAGCTGCTAGATTCCGAGTCGTCAGTTCGAATAGGCCGCATAATAGTATGTTAGTACATGTAGCTAGCTGAAGTTTCCTTAGACATAGAACTCAAACCAATACATGTTGTGGATCCATGGCTCGAGAACAAATCTTGTGGGAAGATAGAAAAGGACGCCGAAGAAGATGCTAATAGGAAGAGCGGGAAGTGCCTTGCCTCGAATTGCCAGTAGCACGAGGGTTAACAGTAGGCCCGTTAGAATGCCTACTACACAAGCGGCAAAGGTTGTAAAGCTGTATAGCGATGCCTTTGAAACGAGGACTGAATAAAAGATGAAATCGCCCTTTAGAATCGCAGTTGAAGGGGGGTTGTTAGGACGGACATCCGACAAATTGAACAAGCACAGCGCAAACTGGAAACGGCCGGTATATTTATTGCACTTACAAGTCCCAATTTGACAGTGCTGGGTGTTGATCGATCTTCTTGTTCCTCCTGTTCTTCCTCGTCAAGTACTCGGTACACTTTTCCATCGTCTCCAACGAAAATTGTTCGTTTGATTACACCATCACGGTCCACCACGTTGTATTTGGTTGGTGGTGATGGAGCTGGCTCCATTTCCCTCCGGTTACGGCGTCTCAATCCAAATCGTGAGCGGGTAATGGCCTCGACGGGGGGAGGTGATGGCAAAGGCTCCATGTGACCACCATGACTTGGGTAGTATACCGTTACCAAGGACTTCAGTTCTTCCACTGAATGATCGCCATCTACTGTACCATCAACCAATGGGATCTTGTACAGCTTGGCCATAGCCAGAGGGATGGCCCCCGTAGGCCGAGGGACCATTTCGAATTCGCCTTCTTGGGTGCCACTCATGACTGTCTCTCGGGGGCTCTGCGAGACTACTGGAAGGTCAGGAGAGACGCGTCCTGCCGTCTCCTCGGACGCATGCTGCTCTGTGTGCATTTGCTGCTCACTGCTTGTCATTTCTGATGACGATGGCATGGGGTCATCAGTCTTCTTTTCATCCTCGATCCTCTCCGTTGCGTTTGAAGCACGATGATGCCTCTGGTGAGTTGAGTGACTGTCAGTGACCGAGGAAGAGTCTGCTTGGGGCTGTTCCGCCGATGAATCTTGGATATTCGTGGACGCATCGGTAGCTGTACTAGGCTCGTGTTGTTGTTGATTCTGGGACGTCGAAGGCCCAGCAGCTGCACTTGGCTGTCCTCGATTTGTCGCTGGTTGTCGTCTTGCCCGGGATGGCAGCTGTGCTTCGTAGAGCAATCCTGGAATTTTGGGGGCATTATCTTGACCCATCAAGTTGACCAATGCTTTCAAAGGCCCACATGGTGTCAGAACAGCATACAAATCATACAACGCCAACAGTACCAGCAATACCCAAGCTGTCACCTCACTAAAGTGGGCAAGCTCCCACGCTAAAATGACCGAAATGGCAATGAGGTAGCCCTGACCCACATATGGCGGGACGCCGTGGCCAAAGAATAATGCGTAGACGCCCACAACCGTGAAGTTGTAGATGAGCAGAACAAAAGAGATCTTTGTCACCAACAGATTGTAGCGTTTGATTGCCTCGTGGAACAAAACAGCACCAAAGTATCCCAGAAGAAACGTGATAGAAACAACCAGATATCCCTTCAAAAAACACATGCATCGGTACTTGTAAAGCAGGACGACGAAAAATGTCATGGCCGTGATGGCTGCAATAATGACAAGACCGTTGACTAGGCCAATGCCAATTTGTTCGCCAGAGCTTGCATCCTCGCTGACGGTAATGGCAGAGTAGGAACTTGTCAGCGTTTCTTCTCGTGCTTCAGCGGATTCTTCTGTGCGTATAAAGTTGGAAGCCAGTGCACTCAATATCATTGTGATGGTAACAGGAACAGCCGTCGCCTTGAAGGATTCTTGAACGTAATAAATGGAAGAGATGGGAATGGAAGTGCCGGCAGCATTCTCCTGATCCGTCGCTGGCTCATTATGATGATGCTCATCGTGCATCTCAGGTCCTGTTATTGTATCGATAGCCTCCTCTGCACTGCTTGAAGACGACTCCATCTTGCTGTCGTACAAGGTACAAAGGGTTTGGTTAAGTCGTTAAGTCAGCCGTCACCTCAATCGATTTATCTCGATCGCTGCATTGATTGTTATGAAGTGGAAGAATAAAGTACATGTATCATTATTTGTGATGGTTTTTGTGGTTTGTGGTTTGTTGACGATGCGGTTATGCGGTTTAGGGTGGACTGTTGTTTCATGGGAATGGAGGCTCAAGCGACTGGTCATCATCTTAATTCTCTCTTGATGAGCGGATTTAACACTTGACTCTAACTCGGTATGATCATCACCACGACACTGGTTTCTTCTTCTTTGTTGGATTTTTGGTAACGGCCAAAATTTGTTAACGGCAAAGTGAGGTGAGTCGAGTAACAGTCGTCCTCTTTGCCACATCTTTTGACGCCTTTGGTGCTCACTCTTCACACATGGACTAAACCAAACCAAACCAAACCAAACCAAACCAAACCAAACCAAACAAAACAAAACAAAACAAAACAAAACAAAACAAAACAAAACAAAACAAAACAAGCTAGCTAGCTACCGGTACCTGGTAGTTGGTTACGACTGTACCACCGGAAAGGTTAGAACTACAGCTCCACGCTATCGATACAGTATTTTTGGTTGATCTACATATCTACATGTACATGTAACAGTTCATACTTTGAAGGAATATTACGGGACTATATTTTAAATGAATGTACTCTTGTGTGGAAAAGGACAAACCCCGAACAAGGCAGCAGGCAAGCTCTCATTATAATCATTCAGCGCCACGCTGTGCCAAGACTTAAACATAGTAAGGCTTCTGAAGAACCTGTGCTATCCAGGGTTCCATGAACACTCGCGTAAACACGTAGAAGACAACACCAAGGAAGATCGAAATTGGCAAGGCTACAAATGAAAACGCAAGTTGAGTTCAGACCCTGTTAATTAACAAAGCAAATGAAATTGACAACATGGCAATGGTAGCAACATACCTGGTAGGGCATGGTGGTACACAGATAGTAGGACAAGAGTTCCACCCAAACCAGCCAATATCACAAGGATGCATGCCGCAAAAGTGGCAAAGCTGTACTGAGCTGCTTTTGCCACCAGAACCGAGTAGAAAATGAAATCACCGAGCCCAAGTCGGATCGAGTTTTGTTCGTCCATATCTTCATCGTCGCCACGCATTTCGGCAAACACCTTCCCAGTGCGGTCTACCCAGAGAATTCTCTTTGGTTTCCCCTGACGATCCGTTTCTAAATACACTTTCTTGCCACGTTTTGCAACTCGATTAATCCTACCTCCATCCTTGGGCAAGCGAACTGTAACTTCGGCTCGCAGTTGAGCAGGTGTCGGGTTCTCGGGGACCATTGGGTTTGCACCATTGCTTGCCAACAAGGGCGAATTGGAGGGGCCGTCACTGCCTCCCGAGCCTTGACTCATAGTGGCTAAGGAATGATGCGGGATGACCAGGACGGGCAGATTGTAAACGCTGGCGATAGCCAAGGGAATGTCAATAAGAGGACCTTCTTCACCGCTGCCATCTTCTGACCGATTATCCATGACTCCCGAGTTTCCAGAGCCGTCGTCTCTGCTGGCCATAATCTCATCATCATCGGAACCTCTGGAATTCCTCGAACCGTACTGTTTTCCACCGTAGTTTGTGTTTTTGGAACCCTTGGCACCACGCGGCATTCCAGGACGCCGTGCCTCGGGCGGGAGCTCTGCCTCATACAATAGTCCTGGCATTTCGGGAGCATCATCCTTGGACATGAGATCCACTAGAAATCTTAGTGGCCCACATGGTGTGAGAACTGCACAGAGATCATATAGGGCCAACATGGTGAGGAGGCTCCATGTGGTCCAACTATCAAAATAGCTCAAATGCCAAGCCAAAATGACGGCTGTCGCAATGAGATATGCTTGTGTGATGTACTTGGGAATACCTTGTCCCCAAAATACGGATGCCACACCGACAACACAAAAATTGTAAATGAAGAAATAGTAGGAAATGATATCCATGGGAATGTGGTAGACATACAGGGCAGTCTGAAACAAATTGCCTCCCAGGACTCCCAAAAGAGTGGCTGAGCAGAAAATCATGTATCCAATGAGGCACTTCATACATTTGAATTTGTAGAGCAGGACAATAACAAATGTCATCATGCAGATGACGCTGACCATGACAATACTATTGGCAAAACTCAAGAGTAGCGTGTCCAATCCACCCGATCCATCGGTGCTAAAGACTTGGTACGCATTGGCCATGGCAGCTTCTCCATTCTCAATGGTTTCTTCGTTGTTGATGTAAACCACCGACAGGGCTGACAACATCATGGTCATGGACACTGCCAGAAGAGAAAAACAAAGCAAGGAGCCCCAAACACAAAAAGATGAAAATTAGGCGACATCAATTCTCGGAACCCTCGACCGAGTAAATTCGCAGAAAGAAGAAAGAGAATGACCTACCTGGCTTGGCTATTGCATAGTAGGAGGACGAACTGTAGAGGAGCTCCGACACGGACAAAGCCTTTCCCTCTTCCTGGACCCCACTATCATCTGCAGAGCCCCCGTCAGCTTCCTGATGAGTGTTGCGAAAAATCCCTTCGCTGCGAGCATAGCCCGGATCCTCTTCCTCCTCGCGGTCGTGGTCGCTGTACCGTGATCGAGTCATGGTGAATTGTTGATGCTTCCGTCGCAGATTGACAACGTTCCTCTCCCTCTCTCGAAAGGAGGCAGGCACTGCAACACAAACAAAAGGCAAGCACCAGTCGTCAGCTTCTCCCTCACTCTTGGTTTCCTGATTGCTTGTGGTTTGTTTGGCTTTTTCGTTTGTTGCTCGATCAGATTTCGAACTGCCAAAAATTACTTAAGGGTGTGGTTCAACAACGGCTACAAAAGAGTTAAGACCAAAAACAATTTTACATGTTTCAATGATTTATGTGTTTTTTCCGAAGCCCTCACACAGCAATCCAACAGTCCGACGTCCAACCGCAAGATCCCACCCCACAGCCAAGAACACAAACATCATTCATTCATCATCATCAGAGACTTTCATAATTGCTCTCCACTTGGCCTTTCATTCTGTCTTTTGTCGAGCCCAGCTTTCAAAGAAGGTACGATTATCGACTTTTGCGTTCTTGTGATAGAGTTTGCATGCGTATATGCGTATACCCCCATTACTCGACTCTTTGCAGCATTGAGCAGCAGCCTTTCACCTGCTCAAGACTGCCCATTTTTAATGGAAGGGGGGACATTGACGATTTGCCGTGTAGCTGAGCTCCTCCAACGTCCATGGAGTGTTTCTCTATCCCAACACCGCAACACCTTACCTTACTGGCTGCAATTGACCTTGCTAACCCTTGGCTTTCTTGCACCTCGATTGTTTTCTTGGGTAATATAGCCACTCCATAATAGTTTTGTTTATCGAGACCTCCATGGAATCCTGCAGTTCTGGACGCGTTCTTTCAATACAATCCCACGTGGTATCTGGTTGTAAGTGTCAGCGCCACGACGAAGGAACCATCCTCAATCTCTAGGTATTTCTGCTAACTCAATTTTCCTCAATCTTGACATACTCTTTTTCAGATGTGGGTAACAAGGCGGCGGTTTTCCCACTCCAACTGCTGGGCTTTGATGTAGATCCCATAAATAGCGTCCATTTCAGCAACCATACTGGGTTCCCCAATGGTTTTGAAGGAGACGTCCTTCAGGGAGATCAGCTACGAGCCATCATGAAGGGCTTGGAACGCAATGATTTGTTGTCCGATGTTGAACACCTCTTGACTGGATACATTGGGTCGGCATCGTTCTTGAGTGCCGTCCTGGATGTCCTCCAAATATTGAGAAATCGCCCGAACGGGAAGAGGCTGCGATATGTCTGTGATCCCGTACTGGGTGATGTGGGCAGTGGTTTCTATGTACCTCAGGAACTGGTGCAGCTATTTCGCGACAAGGTGATTCCAGAAGCCAATGTCGTCACTCCCAATCAATTTGAAGCAGAGCAACTGACAGGGATGACCTTAAATTCCGTAGACGATGTCAAAGTGGCGTGCAAGGCTCTTCATGACATTGGACCAAGCCTTGTGGTGATTACAAGTGTTCTTTTGAAGGACGACAAAGACGATACGATATCTGTGTATGCCTCGAAGCGCGACGAGGAAAAGGATACAACAGAATTGTGGTGCATCCAATGTCCACAACTCCCGGGACGGTATACTGGAACTGGTGATCTTCTCTCGTCCCTCCTTCTAGGGCACTCAGCCATTGAAAACAATATACCAAAAACATTAGAGGTGGTAATGAACACCATGTCAGCCGTAATCAAACGAACTTTAGAGCTTTCACCCGACATTCCGCTTGACTCGGACCATCCCAGAGAACTCCGTTTAATTCAGTGCAAAGCTATTATTGAGAATCCACCCATAGAACTCAAAGCACAAAGAATAGAGTGAAGTAGCATACAAGTAACACATCTTTTCAGCTATTATGTACTGTACCTGAATGCTGCCCCTCTTGTGTGGCACAAGAAAGCGTCTGTACCGTACTTCATCTTCTATTCTTCATGCACTGCTATGGCTTAACGCACAGAGAAACTTCCAACTGCTTGTATACTAAAATTATTATATTGTCTATCAACGCGTCCACCTGTCAAAACACCAGCATCTCTTGGGGTAATGATATTGGTGTTTACGTGTTGTCGTTTTTGTCATCTAAATATCCAACCCATCATTGAGGCGCTTCTGCAGGTCGCGAGCAATGTCAGAATCTGATCTTTCCATTGCAGGGCGGGAGCTTCCGCCGCCGCCGCCCGTGTCGTCCGGGAGAATCAAAAGCACGGGTTCAACCTCCGCAAGAGAGTAGGGTTCCATTTTGCCCATCACCAAACCGTCTTGTAGCCTTTTGTCGACTGGTACTTGCTGGGGAACACTTTCAAAGTAGACTGTCGAGTTGTCCTTTTCCCAGGAGTGCAGGAGCTTATTGTAGTGGTTGCGAAGATCCGTCAACTCATCTTTCAATGGTTTCAGGGCCTTGTTTTGCGTCACGTCTGGGACACCTTGTCCTTGTCCGCTCTTTTCTGTCTTGAGCTCGACTGTGGCCTGACTCAATAGTGAGATGGCATTTCCGTAATCAGCCTTTTCCCACAATGCTCGTGCCTGGAAGTACAGGGAGAGAGACTTTTGCAGTGCCACCTGAAAGTTGATCAAGGCGAAAATGTCCTTGTCAACTCTTGTCATGAGCTTGAATGCCTCCTTTCGCAGTTTGGTTGTAAATTTGTCGAGCTCGCTGAAAGACCGCGTACAAACGACGAGAAAGAATACGTTTAGCCAGAGAATCTACAGGTGAAACAATCTACCAAGAATCACTTACTCTGAGATTCCCAAGCACAATTTACCAAGTAGACCGTAGTTGGGCACCCCTGGCTTGATGAGTACAGTTGCCACTGCCATTTGTTGTGCATTTGCCATGAACAGCTTTTCCATGGCCTCGGCAACGTGAACCGAGCATTCAACGGGGAGGCTCTCCTCGGAGACATTGGATCCTTTTGCACTCCAAGTGGGCAATTGGGTGTGTGCTAGGAAATGAAAAACTCCCGCAGCTGCCTTGTAGTATCGACTGGCTGCAGCAAAGTCTCCTCCAATGCTAGCTTCCGTCGCCAGGCCAGCATTGCCCAAACCTTCGCATACCATTGACATTACCAAATCAAACATCAATGCTTCTGACTGGTAAAAGTTTCGTTCGGTTTCCAATCCAGAGACCCAGGAGAATTGTAGTCGTTCTGTGATGTATTATCACGAAAAGAGATTGCAAGCAAGTAGTGTTGTGGTGAAGGGTCAAAACATTAAATGACAAAACGACAATAGGGGTGTCAGATTGATCAGAAAATGATGAAATGCGTCGCTGTTGAGAAAAGAACGTACCATCCAATCTCGCGACCTCTGGCTGAACTTTGCACGAGAGCAGGATCTGGTGGATAAAAGGCAGGTATCTTTTGGAGTCAGCCAGAACACGTTCATGAGAGACCTTTTGGGCTTCCAGAGCCGATGCTACTTTCTTTCTGGCTTCGTCAGCCTACAGGTACAACCAAAACAAATTGGTGAGATAACCAAAATAAAAAGACATTCACTACATTCTTCGACTTTTGAAAGTATTATCTTTGCTCACCTTGAGCATCAGAGTCTTGGTTTTTGGATGTGTTCCAGTGGTTTTGAAGCTCTTGACAAAGGAAAGCCTAATAGTCGAGGGAGACCAACAAAAAATGTGAGTTAGAAAGAAGATCAGAAACACGCCACAGCAGCGCCCCACTTCGCTCTTCCTCACCGTTGGTCAGGATCGATTATTGGCACCTTGAAGCGATGGACAGCCGAAGCCAACCGAATGCAGGAGTCGGGGTGACCGAGGTTTTCTTCGTCGTCAGACATGTTTCGAGATGTTTTCTTCTTGCTATTATTTGTTTCAGGGGCGACGGAAGGTATTTCCAGGATTATGGCCAGTAGACAGTCCTGCCACAACATCAACAACTGGAGCAACACCAACTCAAGTCGTGAGGCGACACTCGGCACAGTGTTGCGATCTTGCTTTCTGAGGGAAGTTGCCATGGGATTGGGCCAGTGCCGCTTTGGAGAGATCCGTTGACCGTTGATATCGGGACTGCTCAACTCATGACTCTTATAAGCTTACAAAGCGGTAAAGAATGCTGTTCCGGTGCGATCACAACCACGGATTTTCGCACCCTTCCACAAGCAAAGATGGCATACCGGTAGCGTCGCGTGTTTCACCGTTACTGGTAACAGGTACTACAGTAGCGTATGATTTGGTTCCAGATAATAATGAGGGTAGGCGGCCGCAAAGTAAAACGAGGGCCAAACGAAAATGGGACAAAGATATGGCACTTCCAAAACATGCTGGTCTAGTCAAACGATGCACAAAAGACTGCTGGAAAACCCAACTGCAATGACTTGAAGGCTTGCTTTTTATCTCGATTAGTACAAAGCAAGCATTGAGTTCACAGCTGGTGGCATTGCCGAGTTGGAAGTCATAGAAATTCTAAGTGAAACCTCCACGAGGAGGATTTCTTGCAGAACTGTCAAAAAGCATTGTGCCAGCAATTATAATTGTTCTAGCTAGGTAAAATACCAAGGCTCCGTTTCCAAAACCTGCACCACACCCACCCTTGTCTCAACAATAGACAGTAGTAGTACCTGGTACCGGTATTGTTGGTGAAACTACCCACTGGACACTAATCAATCATGCAATAAATGTATGTATTCTTTAAAGTATGCTGCACAAATCCTGTTTCTACCGCTCAGCATGTCGCTCTGAAATGATATTTCTTCTTTTCCATTTGAATGTAAATTGCTATCAATATGACGTTGCATCACCAATTATTGCCTTCGACGGACCATGTGAACAAACGCCCAGAGGTTGAGCAAACCCATAAGGACTATAACGCCTTTCAAAAATGCCTTGTTTCGAAACGCTTTCGAGCCCCTGCAGCATCCAAGCAATCAGACAATTGTAAGCGGAAAAGCTGCAATTATGATTCCCAAAGAATCGATTTCTGCAACGTACATGCTTCGCAACACAACACTCGCTTGCTCGACAGCACTTCTCGTCGCATCAATGTGCCCAGATGTCGTCTCCAATTGCTCTCGCTGACGTCCCATCTGCAACAAGGTGCTGGTTCCAACCTCTTCTGAATCGGAACAGAGTCTGTGTGTGGTTGCGACAAGAGCAGAATGGTTGAGAAGTGTCAACAACACAAAAATTCCAATTTTCTTCTTTTGAACCAACTCACTGGAGAGAATTTCGCAGCATGTCTTCGGAATTGGAGAGGAGACGATCCATATCATTGTAATTTTCGTCAAAGCTTCCATTGGGAGCCTGATAGGTCCCTGTGGTGTCTCCAAACAAGTCTTGACGACCCATGTCGTTCAATTGCCGCTTAACCTCGCGTGACAGAGGACCAATGTCTCGTTCAATGCGTTGCTTGGATTCCATCACGCGATTCGGGTTGCCCTCGACTTCTGCAAGGCCTTGCATGGCCGAGGCACACTTTCGTGCTTCCTCCAAGAGACGCTCACATTCTGAAAGCGTTTGACGAGACCGGTTGCCGGCAAGGTAGCTTCGGATCTTTTGGAGGTGGGCATTGTAATCCTTCACGGTAAATTCCAACGAGCAGGTCAGTGAGTGCCATGTAACTCTTTCCAGCCAAAGCGCCGATAACTTACCCTGTCGTAATCGTCGTAGGAAGCCGCCATGGTGGTTGTTCTTTCGTGGGTGTTGTGTGGAGACAGCCCGCGAATTTGTTTGCTGCATGGCTGCTTTTTGGGTGGGACTGGTGTTATATCTTTGAATGGCGTAGTGTCACTAATTCTTCTTATTCGATCCATAACCCCCCTAAACAGTCCCCCTTAGCTGGTACCTGGCACAGTTTTCTTAGACTCGACTCCATGTATTTTAAAATACTTTTACGGTACCGGTACCGGTACGGTAAGGTGCAGTACTGTACTGGTACCGGTACGCTGTACCGCCGTGCGCGGGGGTCTGGGGTCTTCATCTCATTGTCCCCCCTCATAAGTTATCCGAAATTATGGTTGTGACCTTGGTCCTCGGTCAAGAAATCATCCTTGCAATCTGTAATTTTGGCCGCTCTTGCTGTTGCAGCAGTCTTGTGCCGATACGGTACAGTAGAACCCTTTCACATTCTCTCTTGTCTCTTGTTTCTTCCAAGCAAACTGACCTGACAAACATCATGTCGGAAAAGCCCCCTTCAAAAAAGCCGCGTACGAAAAAGCGACAACCATGGCGCCAATGACGGCAACGATGCCAGCGACAACATCCTGCGAGAATTCTTGCTTGGTCAGGTGTTTGCTTTCTTGAAGCCCCAAGATTTGTTTGCAGCTGCCGTAGTGTGTAAGCCATGGAAAAAATCAGTGGAAATGGTGGCTGGACAACACCTGGCAAAGACCAAAGCCAATCATTTTGTCAGTGACGACTGGGCACAACGCCTAAAAGATTTTGTCAAGGAAAATGCTCGGCGGATGCACTGGCACTCTCCCATCCCTTCTCGCTGTCAGTGGGTGGCAGCCCAAGTTCTGCCTCTCAACAAGTTTGCATTCCCTCCGCTGCTAGATGATCCTATTGTATCGAGTCCTATATTGTTTTCCCATTCACCAATGGTGGTTCCGCTATTGCATTTGCGGGGCCAAATTGTACCTTGAGAGTGATGGACACTCAAACTGGCAAATGGACTCTTTGGAATGGAATCAATGGCGACTCTACGCCAAACTACAACATTCAAGGCGACAAAGGAGACTGGGGTGATTGTGGTTCTTTGAAGGTGTGTGATGGTGGCAACTCCGAATACTTGGTATTTGGAGTGACATCGGTTTTCCGGGTGATCACTTTGTCAGCGTCTGGCGCATTGGACACAATTTGGAGTTTCTGCAGCACATCCAGCTTTCTACACAATCACTGCCTACCGACTGCTACTTGGACGTCATGGTGAAGGGAAGCACACTGATTCTTCAGCATCGGGCCTACACCCATGCCCGTAACGCAAGCGAAGCCGCCGTTTGGGATGACAACCATCTCAGTGAGAGAACCGTTCGTCAACTTCGTCTTCGAACCTACATTGACTATCTCAAGGTTCTTCGGACTACCGTTTTCGATCTTGAGACCGGGCAGCCTATTGTGGATTCATCCAGCTATACCGGTAGCCACATTGTCTCACTCAAACCATACATCCAACATATCTCCTTTCAGCGTTCTGATGATTGTATTCTATCCGTTCATTCCAACAAACGCACCCATTGGATAGATTTCTGTGAAAGAGATGGGGACGGGTCCGAATGTTTGAAGGCCAAGATCTTTGAGCTTGATCGAAATGCAGCCATGGACGAACCAGTGGTGGTCCGAACTTTGTTGCCTAGCAATGAATTCTTGGGCATTGGAACGAGCAAGAAGGAAGTTTTTGCCCACCACCACACCACCAACAGTAAGCCCTTGCAGCACGTGGAAACGTTCCTCCTCTAGCTGGCTACCGCTACTTGAATGCATGGGATATACATGTATATACCATGGCATCAATCTTTGTACCCTCTGTGCTCTTTTCTAGCTAGTACAACATTTACTGACTGAACCAATGACTGTTGCCTATTATGAATTGAACTATCGGGAAGATGCCTCGTCTTGTACTGCGCACTCGGGTAAGACCACTCATCTTTGTTGACGTTTGTTTATCACTACCTTTTTCTGTTTGAGCGCTCTAGCACACGACTATCAGATTCCGCCGGAGTTGTTGTGGAAAGGCATTGGCGTTGGCACAGGGACAGTGTTGATATCTAGCTCCTTCAAAACATTGCTACAGGTTTCGTCGCTATCATCGCTGTTCATCTGGGCAATAGTGAGGTTCCAGAACATCTTGTGGTGGGTTGCTCTGGGAGCCCTGGGCCACTTTTTGGAGGATTTCTTTCCGGACTTTGTAGGACGCAGACGAGTGTCCACATAGAGCTTGGGGCGCTCGTCCTTGAAGACTGCAAACGCGGAGTTTTGAGACCAGAAAACGGGAGTTGGCCTCCTTGGAGCCATGGCAACGGTCCTTGGGGCTTGGTTGCTGTCATACAAGCTGTCAAAGACTTGCCTTGGCACACTTTGGGTTGGTTTGGGGCGGTGGCTCTCGCATTGATTGGTGGTATGACGATGATCCATTGTGGCGTACGGTGTTGAAAGGAAGCAAGCTGGTTTCGAGGAAGTTTGTTGTAGTTGTTGGAAGCGAATGCAATTTTTGTGAGAGCTCTTTGACCTGTCGAGAAGCAAGGGGTGCGAAACACACAAGTGTCGTGCCAAAGAAGCGACAAGAGTCCATTGGCGGCAGGGCGGCGTGGTTGGCTGCTATGTACATCGTCTAATGGTAGATGGGTTTGACCCTTTTGCGAAGGCAGTAGTGATCGGATCATGCAACGGTCTCGTGCCGACAGTCTCACAAGTAGTGTATACTACCTGTGCGTACAGGTGGGCGTCCACCAATGAACTGGTTGTCAACGCTCTAATCGATTGGGAGGGGTGGCAGGAGCCATAGGCTTGCATGCTACAGCAAGAGTCAGAGACCTAGGAAAGAGGAAGGGTCGAACTGCATTCTTTATGCTTGGTAAAGGAACTCTTAGGCCAAGTTTTGTCTGATGCGACAATGGCGGTCAGAAACACTTCTAGCTAGTTGTGGTCGTTTCCTTGGAAAGTAGTTCAACGAGGTCATGCTTGTCATAATGCATTGTCATACAACTGTCTTGGTGTACCGGTACTGTCAAGCCTTGCCAAAGACCCAGCCAGGCACACGTATCTTGCGTTGCGGATCCTTGCGCTGGTTCGTACCTTGCGTTGCGAAAGTAAGCCCAATCACGACTCGATGTCCATACCATCTTTCGTGCTGTGAATCTGCATCTGAACGATTGTTGGATGCTTGTATTCTCTTTGGCAAGTCTCTCATTCGCTCTTGATTGCATCCCCCTCTTCCTTTGTTTGCTTTAACTGCTTGATCCAACCAGACAATCTTCGTTCAACACTTCCGACCACAATGAGACCGACAAGAGCCGGTACTGCCAAGTACACCATGGGCAAGACCCCTTGTTCGTTCAACAAATTTTGTCGTACCACATCCAACAAGTTGATGTTCCATGGATTGCTATTCCCGTCACAGAGTAGTTTCCAGATGACTCCATTGGTGGTTCCCACGACAAATCCCACGGCAATCTGTTGCCACGTATGTAACTTGGTATCGATTCGATACCACAAACTAATGAGACTGTAGATTAGAATGGGTATTTGAATTCCAGGAATGGGTACAACCAACCCCGTAAAGGTTCCAATAAAGCCTAGACTCATGGCATGCGACGACGGCATTCCCTTGTCGGATGGTTTGAGTTTCATGTCGACGGTATCGAGTTCTTGCGGTCGTTCTTGATTGAGAATGCGTTTGAGGATCTTTCCCAGAACGGCATTGCCAATGGCACCCATGAAAAAGGTAATCATCAAGGCATCCCGATAATACGCCAGGGCGACAAAGAAGGTCCCCGACACGACTATGGATGTACTGGCGCCAATGGCGTACAAAACCTGATTGTTGTGACTGTCATTGGTTTGATGATGATCGGGTGAATTGGTGGATTCTGCCATTTTCAGTTGAATGGATGTCGTTGATAATGATGGCAACGATAATCGAGAATGAACTTTGATAGTACTGGGACAGTAGCTTGGTGTTCTTATTATCCGATGAAGTTGTAAATGGCGGCCAGGTGTAGGGTGCAACCCTGCTGGTTGGAGAGCTTCCGATAATGGAAACCAGCAGCTGATGAGAAGAAGATAACAAACAGCTCGCACGGCAACAATGGAGGCCCTGTGGATCATCCTTTAGAATATACTACAGAGCTTCAAACGAGTTGAGTTGCTTTGTTGATGCATGTGATGGAAGTGGTCGTTGCGTCCACGCCATGGTCGCCGTTTCCCACGAACTTTTGCGTGTGACGTCAGTGACTCTTTGTACCGTATCTTTTGGATTTTTCATGCGTCTTCAATCCACTTCACAAATAAGCTGTGCCTTCACAACACTACTGCAAGGAACAATTGAATTGAATTCCAAAACTCGATCTGTTCGTCGACCATGCCAAAACCAAAGAAGATCATCAACGACCCTGCCAACGCCGTCGAAGAGTTCATTCGAGGACTGCTTCTGCAATATCCCAATCGTTTGGCCAAATTGGCGAATCATCACGTCGTCCTCAAGGCCGACATTGCCTCTTCTTCTCAAGTCCATTTGTTGTCGGGAGGAGGATCGGGTCATGAACCCAGTCATGCCGGGTGGATTGGCAATGGCATGCTCAGTGGAGCCATTTGTGGAGGAATCTTTGCATCGCCCTCGGTCGCGGCCGTGTTGGCGGCCATTCGAGCAGCCAAGAATGATAAGGGAGTTTTGCTGGTCGTCAAAAATGTGAGTACCATCCATTTTTTATTAAAACACTAGAAAGAACTCTGGCAATGGGTCCTTCTCTTTTTGGTTGTTGGGTCTAGACTAATTGTCCTTTCCTGCCGCATTCTTTTTCAATTGCAGTACACGGGAGATCGCTTGAATTTTGGCATGGCCTGCGAAAAAGCCAATGCCGAAGGAATCCACTGTCAAATGGTAGTCGCCGCCGATGATTGTGCCCTCGAACGCACCAAAGGAATCACTGGAGCCAGAGGTGTGGCCGGGACCGTCCTCATTCACAAAATTGCCGGAGCTGCTGCGGCCCAAGGAAAATCCCTGCAAGAGGTGGCCAATTGGGCCAACGCCGTATCCGCACGCATGGGCACGGTAGGTGTCGCCATGGATTCCGTCACTGTCCCAGGTGCCGACGCCATTAACGATCGACTCGATGAAAATACCATTGAGATTGGGCTAGGGATTCATGGCGAGGCAGGTCTTCGACAGTCCCCACTGCTGACGGCCAAGGAAATTGCACAAGAACTGATTACTACCATTCAAAAATACGGCCGCACGAGTGGTGCAGACGGAGAGATTGTCCCCATGTTTCAACCCAAAGACGAACTGTGTATCCTAGTCAACAACCTCGGTGGAACCTCCAATTTCGAAATGTCCATTTTGGCTCAGTCCTGTGTCGAATTGCTGGAAGGAGCCGAGTTTGGGGCCCAGGTGACACGGGTGCTGGTTGGTTCCTACATGACATCGTTTGATATGCATGGAGCTTCCTTGACCATTCTCAACCTTTCGGGTGCCCCCGACGGGATGGTCGCACTGCTCGATGCCGCCACAGATGCTCCGGCTTGGGGAGTTTGTGACACTTGGAACAGAACGGCTGCCCGCGCATCGGCGACGGAAATTCCAGAAGTGGTTGTAGCAGCAAACGAGGTCTCGGCGGGGTCATTGCCAACCTTGACGGTACCCAATTTTGAAGCGGTGGCCAAACAAATGATTCAGGCAGCCGCACAAAAGTTGATTGACGAAGAACCAACCCTCACCAAATACGACACCATTGTGGGCGACGGAGATTGTGGGATTACTATGAAACGAGGCGCCACGGAACTTTTGAAACGCCTGGAAAGTGGCGACCTCAAAACGGAGCATCCCGTATCCATGTTTGCGGCGATTGCCGATGCCGTGTCGGCATCCATGGGAGGTACATCCGGAGTGCTGCTGGAACTCATGTTTCGTAAAATGGGCTCGTCGTTAGCCCGAGAAGAGACTGTGGGAGTGGACCAGCTGCAGGCTATTCTCGGAACCGGCACCGACGCCATTATTCTCTATGGAGGTGCCAATGTTGGTTCTAGGACCATGCTGGATGCGCTTGTCCCCGCTTCGAATACTCTTGTCTCGTCCAAGAGTTTGGCAGACTCTGCGGCGAAAGCCAAAGAAGGTGCCGACAATACTGCTTCTCTCAAAGCTGCCAGTGCCGGTCGATCCAACTATCTGTCAGAGGAGACTTTAGAGGGAACACCCGATCCTGGAGCCATTGCTGTAGCCCTTGTCTTGGAAGAGATTGCCAAGCTGGTATAAGAGTATGTGTTGAATTCGACTTTTCGTTCTCCCTGCCGATTCTCTTGGCTGTAGCTAGCGTGCAGAACGACTGTACAGTTGTAGTCTAGTTTACTGAATTCAGCGATGAAAAAGTTGGCTCTATCGTGTCTGCAAATTGTAACAACAGCAAAATCATATCTGTGCTGGGGACTGTAATCGTATCAACTCAGGAGGGCATTCAATGAGTAGAATGCGTAGCGAGGCTGCTTTGTATCGTTTTAAGAAGGGAAACCATGTACTGCGCCGGTCATCAGCAGTACGTATTCCATCGTCGGTGGTGAGTTTTCTTTGGGTGCACTACTTTACATTCTGTTGCGAGGCTGTCCTGCCGTCTACTTCATGACCGCCCCACTACTTGGCGAGGTTTCCGTTCCGCCGATCAAGCAATCCACCGTAAATGCCAAGAGATTGAGTGCCAGGCTGGAACCTTCAATGGACCCAGCACCAGAACATTGAATAAAGGGAAAGACAATTATATCAAAGTCGACACTGGCATTCGCAAAGAACTGACATTGCAGGGGCGCTGGCAAGACCGCTCACTGGGGGACCAGTCCATCTGAGAAGGTTCAATCGACTACAGCGTTGAGGCCATCGGTTCTCCTTCTATCCAAACATCCAATTCCGAAGCCAAAAGGCGAAGCACGTAAGTTTATTGTTGGTCTGAAGCTCTCAAGGAGGGGGAATACCGTATTGAATCCATAGTTTCAGCTGGCCTTCCTCACTAGTGACAGCTTTCTCATACTGTGTCAAAAGCTCTTGCCCTTCATTCACGTCCTTTGTGAGGACGAGCAGCATATCTTTCCGCTGCAGTCCAGAACTGTCTGCTTCGTTGGAGGATTCCTTGGTTTTGTCCAAACAGCTTCCAAAAGTCACCAGCTCCGTATTGGCACTCCTAGCATCATGGCAGTGGTTCAGCATGTCAAAAAAGGGCACAGCCCCGGCTTTGAAACCCCATTCTTTGCCCAGGTATGCAGATCTCGAAAGGACCAAAGAGTACCATTTCGAGGTATCTTCTTCTGCCGACAAACTTCCAAGGCGTTTGCTGTAGTTTTCAAGCCGTTCCGTCAATTCTTTCTTGGCGCCGTTGTGGGTTATTGCTCCTTGCCCTGCAATGCTCCCGACGAATTTTTTCATTGTGTCTTGGTTATCTGGATTGTTGAGTAAAGTCTCAATGTCCAGTGCCCCGCATCCTTTCCAACTTTGAATCCATTCGTTGCTAGTGTCGTCTTTCAAGCCCATGACTTGATTGGTCAAGGAAATCTGCCATTCCTCGTCACCTTCTTGAACAATTACAAGATTCGCCGGTATGGATGCCACCACGGATCCCTTCGGAAGATCCCGTGTCGCAAATAAACCTCGACCTCCTAGACTCAGGGGAGTTGTGACAGTTTGCACTCCCACTCTGTAGATACTATTGGCATCACACCATGCGTCGAACCGAAAATCGGCGGCAGTTGGGTGCGGGACAGCTGATGAAGCAAAGGAGGAGGCTTGCCGAACACAAGTAGCCTGGAGCACAACAAGTAGGAGGCACAAACGATGAGGGAAACACATTCTATCTGTCCCATTGATTAGTTTCCAGCCGCCTCAATTGACTGCCATACACGGTACGACAATGTTGTTTCGCAATGGCTGCCCTCGGCTACCGGTACATGCAAGGTCGAGTGAAGTGGCAAAAATAAGATATCATATGATACCCACGACTGCAATATTGTCGAAAGATCGATTGGATCGATTGAGTCGATTGAATGAATGAATCGAATGAATCGAATGAATGATTAATTAATTAAATCGAATCGAATGATTCAATCGAATGAATCACTCAACAAAAATGAGGAAAAAATAACGAAGTTTTATTCTTTTTTAAGGCGACACCTCCCCAGACAATCCCGCTGTACGGTGCCATGGAGAACCAGCATACTTCAGGCGCACGACGGCGCCCACTTAGGAACTGGCCTAGTGTACGCCACCCACCGGAGAAATTTAAAAACTCAGGTGAGTGCCGCTCAACAAAAATGAGACTGGTGCAGTGTCGCGTACATGTACATTATTCCCATAGCCTTTTCTACAGAGATAGCAGCTGCTTCGGTCAATTCTGGGGGGACGGCCGAAAGAATGTGGGAGTTTTATTATCGTGGATTCGGCTTGCTCTATTAACTATTAAACTAACACGGTACCTAGTCGTACTTCAACATGCACGAGCTGGTTAATCGGGATTCAACATGCATACCGGTGAAAAATTGGGTTCGGGTTGAGGTTCGGGTTCGGGAAAAAAAGGTGTTGCTGTTGACCCAGTTTAATCTCACAATTCAACATTTTTCAACATTTAATACCGCCAAGAACGAAGTCTCTAGGTTTGACCATGGCCGGCAACACCTTTGATGTCATCAACGCGATGGGAGAGACTTGCGTCGTTTGCTTTGAACTGTTCGACAATGGCGGCAATGTTGCTGTCTTTGACTGTAACCACTTCATTTGCGGCGACTGCCACGATGCCTTGATTGCGGCGCGGGTGCGGAACATGGTATGGATGGCGAGGCAGTTCTGCAGGAAGGAAAAATTGGGAGCATATCGCCCTTACTATCAGCCTTGTTTCTACAATAATTACAGAGGTGGTAGCGGCTACAACAGCAACTACGGTGGCGGAATGCGTTTTGCTATATAATATGGAGGAAGGGGAGGGTATTTTAGATATGGTTACTAGTATTTAGGTTCTGTCTTTTTTTTCTTTTTCTTTTTGAATTTTGATTTTCCCCCAAATTAATCGGACATTCTGTCGTGTCTACTTTTGGGATATTATCATAGTCTTTTCTGCCTATCCGGCAATACCAATAGAATTTAGGGAGGTCCTTGAGTTTCATTGGTGAGGAATTTCTCGCGAAGGTGACGGCGCTCTTTCCAATGTTTGGAGTTTTCCAGGGCGTATTCAAGGAAGTTTTTATCAGATGGAGGTTTCGTCTCCTGTTAGGGATGTTTCGTTCGATTTGCTTTGATTAGACAATTGTTCACAAATCCGGGGTATAGTTTGCAGATTTGTGGAAACAACACTCCTAGTTGTTCCTCATTGACACCTGTGTCGACTGCAAGTTTGAACTGGGCGAGGTCTTTGCGAGAGCCTTGGTGATGAGCTTCTGCTTTGTTCCCAAATTCCAGGAACGATGGACTTGACTTGAGCTCTGTTAGAAGGTTGGTTGCACTTTCAGCTGTGCTGCACACACTGAAGAGACCATTGTTAGTTGCTCTAAGCTCTCTTCTAGTTTACCATTGCTATTGAGATACTACTGAAAAAGTGGTTCCTTGGCTTTTTCTACTGGTGTGAAATTCTAGTACAGAGGTACAGGGATTGAATCCCTAATCGCGAATCCCCAACACACTCCTGTGGTCGTCGAGCTTGTCCTAGTCGTCGACCATGCTTACTTACTTACTCTGCTTAGCGCTCCTTCTTTGAATGGACCTTCTTGTCCGGCCGTGACCCTCCTACTGAGTGCCCTGGCTCTGAGTGTTCCACAACACCCATCAACTTGTCCACATTCTGTTTGAACAGTCGACCTTGGTTTGGCTTCGTCCAGAAGTCCGCAACCATATCATCAGTTGGACACCAGTCCACACTGATCTCCTTCTTTGCGACTCTGTCGCTCACAAAGAAGTACCTAATGTTGATGTGCTTCGTTCGTTTACTACTAGAAGCTTTGCTATTCTTTTCTAGAAGTATGGCACTCTTGTTGTCCTGATAGACTATAGTTTCTTTAACTACATACTAGCCTTGCTCCCGTAGGAACTGCCTCGTCCAAAGGATCGATGGCATCAGGTCATCAACTGCTACGAGTTCGCTCTCAGTCAAGCTTCTCGTGTTCAACTTCTGTTTCATCAAAGTCGATAATGGGTAACCGGTGCCCATGGTCAAACCACCTCCGGTATGACCCCTCATGTTTGGATGGACTGCGAAAGAACCATCACATACCATTTCAATATGCCACTTCCGTCGGCTTTGAGAACTAATGGTAGTTTTCTAGTACGCCTAATGTACTGCATGAGGTGGACTAGTTTATCCCAATCCTGCCTATCCGGTTCCTTGACTCTAGTCGTGAGGAACGATATCGCCGTACCTGTGTCTGGTCGGGCTCTCTTCGTAGCGAATAGCACCTTAGCCACCAGGCTGTGAAAGGCGTCTGCCTTGCTCGTTGGGAGCTTCTTGCAGGATTCGTCTACTGTGAATAGGTCTTTCGGGGCTGCACTACTTCATTACGGTACCATGGTAGCTAGCCTACTATACTACCGTAAGTTCGGAAGACGATGTCCGGAACGGATTTAGATTAATCTTACGCCCATGTGTAGCCAACGAATGGTCACGGCAAGCAACAGACAGTCTGCTGGCATGTAGACGACTGTAAGCTTAGCCCAAGGACTCGAAGGTTAATGACCAGCTGATCCAAGTGCTTCGTGATGAATACGAAAGCATATTCAGGACGGCACTGGAGAGAGATGACGGTGAGCCGCGGAAAGGTCCACACTATCTCGGCATGACCATAGACTTCACAACGAAGGGTCAATGCAAATTATCAATGTACAAGTACGTGATGAAATCCTGGAAGCCTTCGAGAAGGCATCGCCAGAGGAAGGGGCACGAAGACTAG